AAAATTAATCACTCACTCACACACTCCCTCCCTCCTGGCTCACAGCTTCTTCTTCTTCTTGGTTGGCAACTTACCTACTACCTACTACCTACTACCGCCCCTCCCCCCTCTGCTCGGCAAACATAAGGCTGTGTTTACGCCCCTCCCCCCTATGCTCAGCACAAACACAAGGCTCACGTGTGGCATGGGAAAAAAAGTGAGCGAGAGAGGGTGAGAGAAAGAAAAAAAGAAAGACGGTTCCAAATAAGTAGTCGGATCCTGTCGTTCACTTCAAAGATCCGGCTCTAAGAGCCATTTCGTTCGTGACCAACACATCACAAGTATATATGGACACGGAGTCGGAACCAGGAGTGGTGGGATTGGGCGGCGCTGATATTTGGCGTCTGTCTTGTGTCAGTGACGTAAAAGACGGATTTAATGCAACATGACCATTCAAACAGCAGTCGCTTTCTAAAACATCAGATATGTATCGGATTCAGTACCACATACGAACGAGACCTAGGCTAGATTTGAAAATATCAGATTTGTGCTGTTCAAACTGTCATACCACGATCGGATATGGGGCGCATAGGGTCAAAAAAGTCAGATTTGATGCGCTTTCACCTGCAGAGTGAGCATAGCCTAATTACATTATTAAAGAAATTAAAAGATCCCTTACGTAAAAGGGATGAACATTTAAATGAATTTTAGCTTTACGAAAGTCACATTTTAAGCAGTGAATGCTGCCATTTAGCCAAGGTGAGGACTTAACTTAACCGGACGGATTTCATGTAAAATGGAAAGACAATGATTATTAAAAAGATGTGTTAAGAAATCAACACCGTTATAAGGAGATAAAAATAAATAAAAAGCTTTAGAGAATTTCTCTACTGTGGAGGAATTTAAGATGCGAGACTGACAATCCGGCGAACAGAGGCTCGTGAGGAGTGTAGAAAAACTCCGTCTTTCAATCATTCCAACAACAACAACAGTCCTCACCTGTCGTGTTTCACTTACACAAAGCAACAGTGATTCGCCCGCTGCTCTGGAGCTGTGGGAGCGCTGTCTTGTGCAAAGTCCCTGCCTTTACCTGCACACACCTGCAGACACCCAGAAAGCAGGAGGACGAGCTTTTTCGGACTCAATAAATCTGTTGACACACCTGGAGCCCTCCTCCACCTGTGGAACAGAGGAGGAGACAGTGTACTTTGTGTTTGAGGAGGCAGAAAACTTCCTGAAAAACAGGAAGTTTTAGTGCACTGCCATATTAATAGATAAGACACAGAAAAGAGGAACTTTCCATATAAGCAATGTTTGAAACTGTGTGACGTGTAAAGTACCAAAATAACACCTGTATGAAGCACAGTTTATAATTCTAATGTTAGAGCTCTTGCAACTGGCGTTTGAGCTGTGCAGGGGTCTCTCTCTTCCGGAAGATGATTGAATAAAAAGAAATATCAATATTTTAACACACTGTGAGTCGGTTTTCTCCGTTCTGTCATGGGGACAAAAGAATCAGGGTTTAATAAAGTGATTGTCTGCCAGAAAGTGATTGCCGTCCAAGGGAGCGCACGCAGTTGCTTAAAGCTGCAGGGCTCAGATTACTTA